GCACAGTCAGCCTCAAAGCCTCTTTTAATTAAGCCTTCGAAGCATTCACCGGGCAAGGGGATAAATTGAAAGGATGTGTGATTTTCTCTAAACATTTTGAATTTTTTGTTCTGGTGTTATATGGGGGTTCAGGTGGGCGATATTTCGTAGCTTGCCCGATGTGGACACATGCACTTAAGAGACAACATCACAAACAAATATTCTCTAAACATGCTAACAATTTCAATCTTGATTCACTTCTCGATAAAGAGCCTTAATCAGAAAAGTCGAAGTGTTTTTTTTTTTTTACCTTTTCTTAAGTAGTTCGATCAACAAAGATCGCTTTAGGAGAGGCGAATAAATAATGAAAAATTGTTTTTAAAAATAATTGTCTTTGTCATGGTCATGGGAAAAATAGAAATATCCAAACAGGTGCACAGGGATGGCTTCCAAAAGGTGAGAATATTAAACGTCTGTCCGTGGGCGGTGGACTATTGCTTCGGAGGGGGGCGGAGGTTCGAGACCCAGCCGTGGCAGGTAGAATTTTCTGTTTGCGCGGTTTGGAAGCAATCACTCGAGAACATTTCATCTTGACCGTGTTGTATCGGATATACGTATTCTTCAACAATTTAACAGAAATGAATGATATTTGGTGAGAAAATTGAACTTGAAGTTTATGTAAATCAGCATGATTTTGTATCAGATATACAAACTCCTTCACGCTCATGATTTCTTTCCAGTTTCACAAATGTTGATAGAACACCTCATGACATTATTCATTAAACATTCATTTTTGTTTTATTACCTCCCCCAGGAGGTTATGTAATCATCTGGGTTTGTATGTGTGTGTGTGTGTGTGTGTGTATGTGTGTGTGTTTGTCTGTGAGCACGATAACTCAAGAAATACCACACATCTTCATACGAAATTTTTTTAATGCATTTCCCATCGGCTAAGGAAGAACTGATTAAAATTTGGTTGAATTTGATTAAAAATTGAACGAGAAATGAACAAAATTCTGTCTTGCTTTTCCTGGTCAATTAAAAAAAAATCACTGAATGCGTAATTAGGACGTGTATAATGTATGCACGCAGTACTAAGAAGACAATAATGAGATGATAAACCTCATTAAGCTTCAGCCTTCATTATCTATTGTCTTAGTTGCATTTCACATGACCGAAATTCAATGGGGGCGGAGGTATGCAGTCCCTGAGTGCCCTCTAGTTTTCTTAATGAATTATCCTAACCGCAACCCTACATATTTGATAGACTTGACTGATGGTAATTAGTGTATGAATTATTGAAATGTGTCCTATATCAAATAATACAAATATTATCTTTAATTATTTTCCCAGTGTATATGAATTAATTTTCAGCATGAAATTTTGCAAAAATATTTAAATGTCCCGATTTATGGTGATGCTTGACTGCTCTGCTTCACAAAACTATATCATCAATAGACCTTTCCCCTTTTAAGTGAAATTTTGATCTAGACAAGTCTGGACAAAAATTTCATCACAGCTTGAAAGAGCATCACAAGATTAGTAATATTCCGAAGTTTCGTTGCGAAATGTTGTAAAATGCGGATGATATAGTCTTGCGAAGTTTGCCGTTTTTCAGTCATTTTGCATTACAAATGGAAATTGATAATCAGATGATCAAACTGATTATCAATTTCCCGTTTGTAATACCAAATGACTGAAAAACGGCAAACTTCGCAAGGCTATATCATCCGCATTTTACAACATTTCGCAACAAAACTTCGGAATATTACTAATTTTGTGATGCTCTTTCAAGCTGTGATGAAATTTTTGTCCAAACTTGTCTAGATAAAAATTTCACTTAAAAGGGGAAAGGTCTATTGTTTTCCATAAATGTTGTGGCAGCTTTTAGTGTAGCAGCTTGAACGTATCTACACTTGCAATTCATTGTTGTTAATTTTTCGTTAGTTTATAATGCACATCAGGAAGTTCTCTCAACTTGCTTGCGGCTTGTTCGGCAGTCAGATCCCTTTGTGGTGAGGCCAACATCTCGTAACCAACCATGAACTTTTTTATGGTAGCCGACCGCAATAATGGTGGATAATAATGGGCGTGAAGTTGCCAATGGTGACAGTCTGTGTCCTCTGAACCGGTTGGCGCTCCATGCCAGCCCATTGAGTACGGAAATGCACATTGGAATAAATTATCATATTTTGTTACAAGTTGTTTCATTATAACTGCCAAGGATTCTTGTTCCTCTTTCGTTAAATCAGGCAGCCGTAAGACATGCCGTTTTGGAAGTAGCAAGGTTTCGTTAGGCCACACTGCCCAATATGGTACCACAGCTAACCAATGCTCATTCTCCACAACAATTCGTTCCTTTTTGGTCAGTTCGAGGCTAATGTATTTCACAAGTAGTGGTGTCCCATGTTTTGAAAGATATGCCTTTTGAGCTTTGTCTTCAGCCGAGGGTTCGTTCGGAAGAAACGAGCTTGCCCAGATTTGACAGTGAGGGTGAGGATTGGAACAGCCCATTATTTCACCACGATTTTCAAATATCTAAAATAATGATAGTTACTATTAAATGGTGTTGCAGCCCTCGAAAACCGTCAAAATTGAGGTCGGCAAAAAAATGCCGACCTAAATCTAACCTAGGTCGGCACGTCTCGGCATTTTTTAAAATCTGTTTACATGTCTTGGAGCACTAGTAATCACGTATTTGCGAATCATTGAAATCGGAATATAAAGCATGCCGTTTTCCGCGGAAACACAAACTACATATTTAATTAACACGATCGACGGCTTTTCTTTTGGAGTCGTATCTAAATTATATAGGGATGAGCCGATCGCTGAAATTGCCGATTCGATTAATCGGTGGCCGATAATACGTAATAATCGGCCAAAGCCGATTATTTACATGCATTTACCAATAGGCGTTAGTTGTCCTGATGAACCTCAGATGCTTTTGAGCATTAAAATGAAACTTGAGAAGCTAATCTAGCAAACCACTCAGCTACAGTATCTCTAGCATTCATTCATGTCTCTTCCTCCCTTCTAAAGCTGGATGCAAATTGAAAAGTTTTCCACTTCTTTTTCATGACATTCTCTTTTCTTTCATGTAACAATGTATTCCTGTCATGGGGGTTACATGTATAAATGTTATTATTTTCGTATTTAATAATTGCATTTCTGATGAAGAGATAAGAGGTGAGATAAATGCAAGATCTTATTTGTGCGTATTTGTGTAGCAGCTGCATGCCACTCTATAACGTGAAAAGATTGTTAAACATGAATGAATACACAGATTTTCATTTATTTCTAATAGAAAAAAGAAACTGGTCAATAATAGGCCGATTACCGATTATTAAAAATTGGGTGGTAATCGGCCAAGCCGATTAATCGGCTCATCCCTAAAATTATATATAGAATACCCGTCAATTTTTAAACTTTACACCAAAGTGTGTTTAGTTAATCGAACTACGAATCAAATTCTATAATCGCTGACTTTTTACAGGTAAACTACGTGAAGCGTTCCTCTTTTGACTTCGTAACTCATTTGGAATTTTCCTCATTAGCTTCGCAAATTTGAAAAACTCTTTGCAAATCCCTTGAGGGAATTTGCAATGTTCCTATCGGCTGTTGCAATATTCCAAACTTCATTTTAAATTTTCCTAACTTCCTGTTTTAATTTCCTAACTTCCTGTTCTGTTCTGAGCGTTGTAATTGGTCGATTATTTTTGTTAGCCAATTGCAACGCCCAGAACAGAACAGGAAGTTAGGAACTTGTAACAGGAAGTTAGGAACTTCTAACAGGAACTGAGGAAAATTTTTTTGGCTTTTAGCAACATTGCAAATTCCCTCAAGGGATTTGCAAGGGAGTTTTTTAAATTGCAAAAGTAATGAGGAAAATTGCAATCAATTTAGAAACTCAAAAGAGGAACGCTTCACGTAGTTTACCTGTAACAGCTATCAGCACCAACAAATTTTTACTTTGGCTGAATTAAGGTCGGCAAAAATTTTCTGACCTGGGAGGTTGATAGGTCGGCATTTAGGTGAGTATTGCGGAATGCCAACCTCGTTTTCGAGGGCTGGTGTTGGTGACAAAGTTGTTATACAGATAGCAATGAAGACAAGACCGGTTGTAAATTGAGAGAGATACAACCTGGAAAATATAAGCAGAACTTCAACGTTTCAAGCAAAGGCCCTTTGTCTAGTAGCATGATGGGAAGCTAGTAACCCGTTTCGAAGTTAGTCGGGTCTCATCATCACAGACTTAACCATACCTGTAGATTTTATTTTTGTGGAGGTAGCCAATCTTCAAATGGAGCTGGGCCATGCCACATTCTCGTACCCAGAGCCCATCTTACATGTGGTCAACAGAGCATGTCAAGGGGAACTAGAATGGGTTGTGCCGCAACTGCAGATCAAAATTTAGCCTCTGATCGAGAATAAAATACCAAGTGTGCCGCTAGATAACTAGCTCACCTACCTAGCAGCTAGGCTGGCTCGCCTCGCTACACACACTCTTTGAAGTTAGGCAGTTGGCCGTAACTCAAGGCTTAGATACCAATTTTTTCATGCTTTTTGGGATTATACTGAGCTCCAAATGATTTTTGAGTTAGCCAGTAACTCCACAATTCATATTTCAACTCAGTTTTGAATCACACAAGTTACTCAAGTATATCTTTTGGTTTGGAGTTAGACCTTTAGACTTTGGAGGTAGCGTCGCTCCATTAACTTCAGGGCGAGGACTATTTTCTACAGGCATGGACTTGACATATTGCCCAATCCATGAAGAGTCAATGTCTTTGTCCCGGAGACAAGCACATGCCTTTACTGCACCTGCCCTGCCAAACACTGGTCTATGATAGCAAGACAAAACCTATTTGTTGCTATTGGGTCTTTCCGTAAGGCACCCCATCCTCCCATTGTTCGTCCCCCTTTGATATCACTAAAACATCAAATCTTAATCCCATAGGCTACCCTCCAGGAAAATTTAATGTGAAAACCCCCTCCTCCCCCATTGGATACCCAGAGGGGGAGGGTGCAAATTATGGCCAATTGTCAATGACCCCAAACTTACCTGAACCCAGCGATATTTCTCAGACAACTCGACAAACTGACTTATCCATTCTTCAACAACCTTGACGACATCCTTGGTGTCCATCAGAGGCAGTATCATATCCGACCAAGGATGGAAACACATCACTCTGCAGGTACCCCGAGCTGGGGCACTTTGAAACAACCCCCCATCACTATCATCACACCTTTTACTGCACTCTCCTTCTTCTAACAACGCTGGAAAGTCGTTGTTAAACACATAGACACCGCTATACTCTGGATTCTTTGCTCCGCTAGCACGCACAGCCGAAGGGACAAGCGGATTATTTAAATCTCGTCTAGGGATCATCGTTTCTTGTGGCTTCTCGACTTGTCCTTTCCATGGTCGCTTTGTGCGGTGTGGTGATACGACAACCCACTCGTCTTTCAAAGGGTTGAATCTAAGATGAGGTTGTTCGTCCATTTCTTATAAAAAGTCTACAAACCTTGTATTATATTATTGTTTTTAAATTTATTTTTATAAACTATACAATAAATCTGAAAGATTTCTATAATTTTCGAGCGCTATTTTCTCTTGGGGGACTGAGTTCCAAAATCTTATAAAGGTGGCTACACGTTTGTCAACTTCACAATAATTGTTTTACTTGGCTTTCATAGTCGGAGAACTCGTTTACATAAGATGCGTTGACACCCATTTTGTTTCTTTGTTGTTTCAGTCGACCTCATTTCAATGATTGCCCTACCCTGGGTTCAGAGGTTTTCTGGGGGCAATCATATCCAGGGCCGGTATGATTGCCCCACACTTGAGTCAAGTTATGCTAAAATATCACATGATTAAAACCCACGGATTGAGACAAAAATTTCCTTTTCAAATTTTTTTAAACATCAGAACCAAACTAAAACAGGGTCACAAAAAAGTTACAATCTACAGTATTAACGAAGAAAGTATTTTCTTCAGGAGTGGGCAACGCAAGCGTGTGAGATAAAAGGCAGTGAAGCCAGAAGCATGCGACAAAATGCATTAAAATTAGCCATGCAGATTGTAAATTAGTAGACTGTAAACATTAAATTGGGCATAAGAAAAGGAAGTTTTCAAAACATGTCCTTCTATATTACACGAAAAAACGTGTTCTTCTATATTACACGAAAATAACAATTTTTATTTAAATTTTAAAATTTACATTATTCATTAAGCAAAATAATAATTTCTCATAAAACTAAAATAACCTTTTAAATACCCTCTGTTGCAGCACGAGCTCAACTATGTTCCTGCAAAGTTTATGCAAAAGCATGGATGGTTCTTCGTTATTGGATTAAAGACCTGGTCAAACGGAAATGGTCAAGCGAGAGTTTGCATGAGAGTTTTCTCAACTCTATGAGAATAAGAGTTGCACGAGAGTTGATGAGAGGTAAGCGTAGTGAAAAATCTCATCAACACTCATCAAAATTGAAATCTTCTCAAAGTATCAACTTGGATATGGTTGATGAGAGTCGATGAGAGTTATCAACTTTCACCCTCGTTTGATCAGGTCTTACCTGTCCAGTGGGCATTCCTGACTTGAACAAGTAGTTCAACCCATTACTATTGGTGAATAACCTTAGGGACGGACCATTAGAAAAGTGATGGGGGGGGATTTTCTAAGAGGCAACATATATTTTTTTTGTACGTACACCTATAGAAGAAATTTTTTTTCTCACTTGATGGCTGGAAATATATATTTTTTAATTAAAATTTATAGGCCTATCTTCCAAGGAAGGAATTTTTTTTTGCACTGCCTGGGAAGATTTTTTTCCTAATTTTTTTCTGGGAATAATTTTTTTTTTTTGGTTTTGCCCCCCCCCCCCATCACTTTTCTTTCATAATGACGTCACAAGGCTTGATGCCCACGAAGAATGCTGGTCTTAGTAGTCATCGCCCGGGAAAATTAAACAATTCAAAATGACCACTATCGAAATTTTCCCAGGCGATGACTACTAAGACCAGCATTCCTCGCGGGTATCAAACCTTGTGACGTCATTATGCCTTATGCCTTGGAGTTGCCAAACCACACGTGTACTGATTGCCATTAAAAACTCATAAAGGCCATTTTACACGGGGCAATTTTTTGATGGAACTTGGAACGCAATTTCTGACAGAAAAACTTTAAGCATGTAGTAGTTCTTCATTCTCGTTCATTTCTTTCTTGCCTTCTTCATGTTGTGAGCTAGAACTTAGACGACGAAAAACCTCGGTGGAAAAAAATGCTGACCATGCTCTCGGCCATTCTTTTGCAAAACTTTCTAAATAAAATGGCTGTGCCAGAAATGGCGTTGCAATTTGCAGCGAAGATTCCCTCGTGTAACATGGCTTTTAAGACTTAAGTATTAACTAGTGCCCAAAAAAACGTTAACCTTGATGCGTGGACCCTTAATTAAAATATTTTTTCTGAGCCAGACCGTGGCACCTTTTTATGGTATCTGCGAATTCAACTTTTTATGGTATCTGTCCTATCACGACCTCGATACGCGAAATAATTTAATAATGGTGTTAAAGTATTATTTGTTTTGGTCGTAGTATCTTTATTATTTTTACGTGGACGACCGAGCCCCACGGCTCGGCATCTGCCTAGTCCAGTTGTCGGTTTGGTATGTAGACCTAGATTGAAAAGGAAAAGAATACAACATGAGGAAGGTTCAGATTTGACTTCCAATACCACTCACTTGCTCTGTGTGCATTTGATTGCTTAATCGGATAGATTAAAGGCATATGATTGGTTAATGACCTCAATAAGGAGATGATCGTAATGCGAGGTTTCGCTGTACATAACATCTCGTACACATACTTTGATGAAACTTCACTTTTGTCGATAACTCGATTACACTATGTGATATGACATACCAAGTCTAAACAATGCTTGAAAGGTGGATGAAGCAAGTTATACTTACCGAGTAGTTTTGGTCGTGTCCTTGTCATGGTACTGTCACGGCTTATAGCGTTGATCTAAAACGACAAAC